CTTTAAATTTTTTTACCCCAAAACCGCCATTTTGGCCGCCATCTTGATTTTGGGGGGGGGTTTGTATGAAATTTGAGATGGCCATCATCGATTTTCTTTTTCTAGACATCAAAACGAAGAGATTGATGTATCACACAATATGCCTTCACAAATCTGCACACGGGATCACGTATGCCCCCGCACTATGATGTCGAGCTCCTTATCAGATAGAGCGAAAGTAGCAATTCTACTGCGCGCAACTATTCGTGCTCCAAAGTCGCACATACTGCCGTCTCGATTATTGAAGGGGAACTCGCGCAGCAGAATGAGAGACACGTAGTGCGGAGAGTTATCTACGGGCGTTCCTTGTCAGAACCGAGATTTTAGAGAGAAATTGTTTAGAGGCCATGGCGATTAATGCCACAAGAATGATACGGTTGAATGTCAGGAAAACAATTTAAATCATGAGCTTATTTTTGGTAAAAAAAATCCGACTATTTGGGCTGCGACTTTAAACTTATAAGATCGTTTGTTCTTTTGTGTATTATTTTTCAATGTTTTAAGTTAAAAAAGGAAAAGAGGAAAAAATAAACTTCTAGCAAAATACAGTTTCTTTAAAATTAATATCCACCCTTAAAGACCTTCTCACCAGAAAATGACTCACGACCACGGAAGAAAACTACTTTGCTAACAAGTGTTTCCCTCAATCCCATAAAAAATAGATCACTGCTGAAACGTGAGATAAAATGGAAGAGGTGGGGTGGGATTTAAACTTAGCTACAGTATCATTTCATCGACTGCGTTCGTAGTCTCAAGTTTCACCCGTTTTGAACTTGCCTCGGTTTCTGATTGTAAAACGAAAAATGAACATTATGAGAATACGCTGCAAAACGCAAGTCCTAGAAGCCTCAAACTTATTCACGCTGGAGTCAAAGAAGGCTTTAATGAAAAGGTCTTGTTACCAATTATCGACCACATTCTTGCCTTTTAATAGAGTCTCTAATTTTATCTCGCGTAATATTCTCGTGCTTAGGTTTAAGTAGGAAAACTTGGTTTCAAAGGATGCGGTATCTCAAAGCAAGGCTTAAGAAAATGTACCATGGAGATAAACTTACGAATTCTAGGCTTGAGAGATCAGTGCCTGCTTTGCTGAATTTTGACACCTTGATCTTTATGCGCTCCAAATAACTTTTTAAGAAAAACGAGATTTTCCCTCAATATGAAATCAGAGATGAAATGTTTGTTCATTACATCTCCTTCTCCTGCAATTTAAATTTTTCAATTTTGATACTTCTTTAAAAGTACAAACGCTGTTGCCATGCGATTGGTAATTCCTCTACATATACTTTTGATACGGCGCGGCGTAACAAGGCATGATATACGTCGTAATTTATTTATTTATTCATTAATTTGCCATAAAAATTGAGTACATTTATTTTCGAAGATTAAATGGACCGCGTTTAACAGAAAGGAACCAAGCCACATCAGCTATTGCCAAATTGGATTGGGCAATTTAATTTTTTACATGAAAACGGTCGTACGGATTTTTGTGCAAATTTCAGTGAAAGTTTCTCCATGGTACGAAGCAAATTCCTTAAATTTTCAAAGAAATCCGAACAAACGTTCTCTCGTAAAGAGTTGAATTGCCCAGTTGAACTTGGCAATAGCTGATGTGGCTTGGTTCCTTTCTGTTTAACGCGGTCCAAATATTTACCAATGCTGTAACTGTATGGATAAATTGGTGCAGCTTAAGTCTTTGGAACCTCATTTTGCTGTTTCGCCGTGCTAAGGAAGAACGCCGTATGAACATTAGAGAGTTGCTAAATTTCTATATAAATAAAAAATGTATTTTTTGACCACATTCCTGCATATTTTTCCTTTAAATTCTCAGATATTTTAGATTAAATTGCGTACAAAATCGTCTGAAAATTTTGGAAAATAATATCTGCAATTAACCCAGTAATTTCGGTTTTTATCAGAGGAAACTTGGCAACGTTTGAAAGCTCATATGGCGTTTCTTCCTTAGCACGGCAGTGTTGTTCTCTGTGGCGTTTATTCCTTTTTCGAGCAGATGAACCCAACCGCGCACATGTTTTAAAAGACTAAGGGGGCGGGACGGGATGGAGAAAGAGGATCAAAACACTTGCTCAGCGGAAATTGGGCCGAAAATAGGATTGGGAATGAGTAACGATCGAAAGTGCATTTGCAGAGATTGCTACTTATGACGGCTGTTGAATAATTCGCCCCCGATCTGGCCGAATGCAAATTGATAACTGCAACTGCATGCATTTCCACAAGCCCCCTGTGCTGCCAAATTAAGACGAATCATCACAGTAGTCTATTGATCCCGGGATTAAAACTTCGCACGGTTGCGAGGTCTCGTCACTATTGTTAGGTTGTAGTTAGCTTTTTTAATTTAATTAATTTGCATATCGATGGCTAAAGTGCGAAATAACGTATCTCCGTTTGCGTCGTTGCAGACTTCCTCACCAAAAAAAAGTGAAGTTGATATTTGGATTTCATTTTGCAAAAAGGAACCAAGAGCGTTGCAATGTTGCTAAGACTGTGCAACTTCATCCTTTGCAATAAAAGTACTGAAATCATGCAAAAATATGAAATTTACATGGTAATTTTTGTCTTAAATTTACAGTTTTTAGGGTGTAAAATAGAAACTGTTTGTAGATGATCAGGTTTTTCTTCCAAGACTAAAGAAGTTGGAAAATTTTAGCAATAGTGCAATGCTCTTGGTTCCTTTTTGCAAAATGCAATCTATTTAACATTCTGGATGTAAAAAAAGTGTGCGGGAACTTATAAAATGCTGAATTACCCGCAACATCATTTACTTTAGCAATGCCAAGATGTAAAACTACCTGCTGTGACAGGTCATTCAGCACTTTATAAGTTCTTGCACACTTTTTTTTACATCCTGCAGAATGTTAAATCAACTTCCCTTTTTTTTCGGTGCTGTCATACTTTATTTTTCCCCCAGAAAACTATAGTCAACGTGATTTCTTTAAAACTCCCCTGATTTTTCTTCTGTATCTGCAAAATATTCTCTATAAATTTCAAGTTATTAAGTTGGCTTGTCTCTCATCGAAAAAATTGAACAGGAGTATACATTTATACGCCGTGATGGAGGAACGTGGTCTTGCACGTTGGCCGTCAGTAGCGCGGCGTGAATTGCGATGTATCGATTGATCTGCCATTTAAACCTATGGTAAAGAATCGATCATTAACGTTTTCGCGGTGAACATCCTATTTATCGATCCTTTTCCATAGGTTTAAATGGTATAACAATCGATATATCGCAAAGCTCGCCACGCCACTGTTTGCCATCATCGCGTAAATAATTCCAAAGAATATGCATCTCGAGGAACGACTAAGTATTTTTACAAAGTAGGTCCTCTCAAATTCATTCACAGCTAAGTAAAATTCAAAGGGAATCCTGAGCTGAATTCACTGATTCGTGAAAAATGCGACAGTTTTTCAACGCGATCTTCTCCTCTGTTTTCCTCGCGATCGAGAGCTTGGATTCTTGGCGCGGGCCCAGGGCGGGATCGATGGTCGAGTGGTTAGCGTGTCTGGCATCCGAGCTTAGAGGTCGCGGGTTGCGTTCCCGGCGTGCTCGGCTCCAAAGTCGGCGACAGGGCGTGACTCCCCGTTTCATTCACGAATCGCGAACCGGTAGTGCGGTTCATTGACGGACTCTTTTACTCACGCTACAACCTCCATTCATCGGTCGTGAGCTCTGCCGTCTGACTCACGGTCCTCGGTTCGACTCCCGCTAATGCGCTCGCTCTTTCTGTTGCCAGCTCTGTCGTGTTTACACTGCACCGAGCGCCCCCGTATTTATTTCACTTTGTGTACGAGGAGTCACTAGTTCGACTCCCAGTAGGATGCTGTTTGGAAACGAAACGATTACCAGCCTTAACCTCTCATTTCCAAACTCTCATGTTCCGCCTCGAATATTTCCTCGATTTAGAATAGTTTTCAGATGTTTTTCATGTAAGGATTAGGAAACGTTTAAAATAATAAAATAATTTTGAATAGTGAAATTCGTAACTAAATGATTATTTTTATACTTTGAATGAGCTGGAAAGTATGGAAATATATCTCATTGAGCTTAATGGTTCAACTCTTACATGCCTATGATATTCTGATAGGTAGGCTTGGAATTATTCAGACGGTGAAGGATATCAAGTTATCTTATTGTGTTTTTTCATTTTTGAATAGGTATCCAAAACACAAATAATGGATGTCAAAGGTATTGCAAATCACACAATTCCATTGACTCCTTAGAAAAAAAAAAATAATAATAATAATTAAAAAATCATTAATAAATCTAACAATCTTTTTCTTTAAATTAGTTTGAATTCTGACGGGAGTGTATCAACTCGGCTTTCATATCTGAATGTTCATTGAACTGTTCTATAAATGGTAACGGCACAGGGTTTTAATAAAAGGACACAATAAAGTTGTATTCAAATTGTATTTGGAAAAAAAACATTGTGAAATAACAGAGTAGGTGCTAAAGGCTCCATTATATTGCCTTTTCTTGATTTGATCTGCAGAAGTAACGCTCTTTTTGACTTCATTGTGACACACCAATGTCATTTCAATGTGGAAAATGCGAAACATTTGTATTTCATCGTACGTGATAAGGAGTCATAGAATTCCTCTCTCCAAGTCGAAATAAGGTTTAGCCTGGATTTTATGTAGCCAGACATAATTTTGCCGCTGTCTTCACACAGCTAGGTGAAGGAATAGAGAACAAGGTTTATGCGCAAGGTGGGGCACATGGTTTGGGAGGAGCAACCTCCAAGTGACCAGGATGGTCAGCATGACTGGGGTGGCCGAAGTGTCCATGACCTCCGTGTCCGTAGACACCGAATCCAACACCTCCCATACCTCCGGCACCTCCCATTCCTCCGGCACCTCCCATTCCTCCGGCACCTCCCATACCGCCAGCACCTCCCATACCTCCAGCACCTCCAGCGGAGGGCGCGACCTGCTCAACAGTGATCACATTGGGTCCGGCCTGTTCGTGCACTTGGGGAGGAGCGAAGGTGTCAACGACGACGGGCTGTTGGGGGAAGAGATTCAAACGGGCTTGTTTCTGGTGGTTGATGACGGTGGGTTTCTCGAAGTAGTCGATTTCGGTGGGGATAGCTTCGTGGTCGATAACCTTGGGCTGGGCTCCGAAGTTGACTTGGTACGGGGAAGGAGCGAATTGTTCAATGACGATAGGTTCGCGGTCGGGGATTGGACCAGGGCCGGTTTGGCCGGTGGGGCCGTTGCCGTAAGATTCGGCTGACAGGCGGTAGCGCTGATCTCCAGCACCTCCCATACCTCCGGCACCTCCCATGCCTCCAGCGCTTCCCATACCTCCAGCACCTCCCATGCCTCCAGCACTACCCATACCTCCGGCACCTCCCATGCCTCCAGCACACCCGATGCTGTTTCCGGAGTAATGGTAGTGGTGTTCCCAGTGAGGGTTGCGGCGGGTTCGGAGGTGCTCTGCGCTGCAGATTGCAACAACGGCTGTTAGAACGACGAAGTAACGCATTTTGGCTGACGATTGAACTGCTGGTATGATTCTTCTGGCTGCGGTTGAGATCGAATGTGGTTTCAATGTTGTGGGTGGAGGTTTTATACTCTGAATGTATCAGTTCAGCTGGGAGTTCTGGCGTTATCGAGCGGCACCCGCGCAAGATTTTCCGATAGTGCAACTGCTTGGACTTCGATCAGCCGCGAGTAAGAATACGTACTGTCTCGAACGGAAGAGGTGATGACTTTCATTCTCCAAAGCCAGGTCACGTTTGAAAAATCATTTGAGATATGTTCGGGCGCCGTTTGGTTGGACAAATGGATGGTATTACTGCGGATTGCTAAAAAATGACCAACCGCAGTAATTTTTAGGGAAAATTCAGAAGTAAAAATTGTGAAGTATTCCAATTGATCAGAGGCTCTATTGCACAGCCGATGAAAAGTCTAATAATACGCTTGACCTTTGCGTCCTCTAATACATCCGGTCCCTCCAGTTGTCAATGTTTCAAACTTCAAAACGCAGGAAACAGAAAATAGAGGAGAAGACATGCTAAAAGACTCAATATTCATCAAATTTAAGGGGCATGGAAATATTTCAGGATTGCTCCTCTGCAAACCAACTGCAAAATCCGATGAAATTCTCGCTTTCTCATACAACGAAGTGAAGGTAATCGCCTAAAAACTTTAAGATGTTAAGGAGTCCACCGATTCACATCACAAATGAACCTCATTACCTCATCCTTCTCCCTCTTTACTTTCGGCATAATCGTCCTCAAACCGTTCTAAAAACAATCTATCTGTAATGATAGTGTTCCCAAAAATTTTGACTGCTAGTTTTAAAGAAAAACATATGTTATTGATTTCAAAGAGCGACCGAGGGTATGAGGAGCTTCGGATAAGGAGAGGACTTTGAATATTGTCTGAGTAACTAACTAAATCTTCAATTTTTTATTCAGCAATTCGAATGAAATAAAACGTATGCTTCAGATGAATTATCCTATGCTCGGGATGAAATTTCTATCACCTTTTAAATAGTGAGCATTTTTTTTATATGTCACACTGATAAGTTTCTGGTCGAAGTCACACTTTCCTAGTGGAAAGCAAGACTCCAAAAGGGATACTTTTTCTTCTCTAAAATTCAGTAGAACTGCCGTAATTGGACGTCGAAATTCCGCAGACACTCAAGGCACACGTTATATCTCAACCGTGGGTGCGAAAACTAAAATGACACGTACAGTTGAGACGAAAATCTCAAGCGCGAATAATTACAATCAGTTTTACAAATACGGCCATCATATGTGCAAATAACAATTTGCCCCTCGAAAATTCGTCCAACTATTCTCTTTTTGCTTCCTTCATTTCCGGTAAAATCCTCCCTAAAGCTCCGCGTGTAATCCGAGCCCAAATCCTATACTTTGCTTAAAATTTTAATCCTTGACCATAAAAACATGTTTACCCTTGGGCGCACCCCCTCAACCCCAAAAATACAAATGACGGGCCGGAACGACGCGACCAATTTCCTGACGAGGACTCGGCGATCCCGGTTCCCACGCACGGTAGCAACCCCCTCCCCGGCCCTGGACAGGACCGGCGGGGGTGGGGGATGCGCGGCGCGGCGCAGGCGCCCTCCACGCGGGGCGGGAAACCGGGAGCGCGTTCGAAAGGGCGCCGCACAGTCACCATCCTCCAGCCGGACGCGCGTGTCAGTGAGTGTGTGCCACAGTGAAACAACCGAAAATCGCGTTTTTTTTTCGTTCGCGGGAAGTTGAGCTCGCGGCGCCATGGCCGACGTTGACGTGCAGGTGAACTACACGACGGAGCGGAAAGTCCGCAAGACGAAGAAGACTTCGACGTCCAAGCGACGCGAGTCCACCGACGGGGAGGTCACCGCCGTTGAGAAGGAGAACCACCTTCCAAATGGCACCTCCAACGGTGTCCAGAACGACAGGTACGTTTTGGCAGGATGCACGACTCCTTACGGACCAATGACTATAGGACTGACCAATGACCAAAGGACGGACTATTGACTATAGGACGGCTCAGAGACTGCGGTTTCATGAGTCTAATTTTCTCTACGCTCGGTTCAGTCACTCAGACTATCTTCTTTCCCTCCCTTTTCAATCTCCATGTATTATTCACCGATTGGACTGCATTTTGCAATTTGGAACTATAAATTCTATCCCATCTGAAAAAACACTTACGTGCATAGGAAAACTAATGGCATTTACGGTGTTTTTAAACCGGGCCAGAATTTATAGTTCCTAATTGCAAAATGCAGTCCGATTTGTCTTTCCCCGCATGAAGGAACGTAACTCGATTCCAAGGTTGCAAATGTTTGAGTCAAACCATTCAATTTTTTACAAAAATGTACCTGTGCCAATTTTCCATTAAAATTCGTCTGATTTTTGAAAGAGATCAGAGAAAAAATCAGTGAAGTTTTCATTTAGGAATGCCCCCGATTCTCCCGGTAAAATTAAAAATTGCGAGGGGAAATTTGGCAGCATCGTAATGTAGTTACGTTTTTTCGTGAGGGAGACAACGAATTACCCCGAAATCGAATGGAGCACTAACGTGCCATGGGAAAGGACCCTTTGAGCCCTCAGGCGTTGCTATATTTCCTCTGATAAGAGTCATTCTTCGGTCACCTTCTAAATATTTTTTCACAAATTTTTTTGGAGAATTGTATGTGTAATTCGGTGTAAAATATCTGAAAATTTCAAGAAAATATATTCATAACTTTTCCAGATAGAAAGCTGCTGGAAAAAGGCAAAACTATGTATCAGTACCAAAATAAAAGCAGGAGGATGTTCAGGCAGGCCCCATCCTGACTCCCCCTCCAATGGCCTGATTTTTGCAATTTCATATAGTTTTCACTAAAATTTTAACGTTTTTTAAAGATTTAATCCAGAAATAAGCGTCGTTTCGTGTGCACAGCGTGGTCCACGCTGCGATTCTAAGATCTGTTTTTCGAGTTGACTTAATTTGGAGATAATCAAAATTCCTCCTCTATTCTTTACGTTCCGAGAGTAAGATACATTTTTTTGAGCCAACTGATTCTGAACTAGATCTTCTCAGCCGGAGTTACGTAAAAAATGTGTGTCATCGGAATACTTTTTTTATTCCAATTCAGTGCAACATTTAGAAGATCGGATTCTTTTATATGCACTTCTTTTTATGAAGTTTTAGATGTGAAGGAAAATCAGACTCACGAAGCTTTTATAACGGACTACAATGTGGATATAAATTTTGGACCGTTAACAATAATGACTTCGACGGAAGACGATCTGGTCTATGATACTGAGACTTTCATTTTGGAGTTTCTAGTTCTATTTTTTTGAAGCAAAGAAACAATGCAAACAAGTATTTGAGCCCCCAAGAGTATTCGCCGATCTTTTCATTTAATTTCATGGTTTCACTTTCTGCTTAAAATATTCTTCTCGGCTTAATCTCTATACTTATCTACATGTAACAATGCTAAAATGTAATTTTTTCTTCGAAATAATTTCAAGAGTTGTTTCAAAAAGTTTATTTTTAAAGTGAAAAATTTTAAGAAGTAAGAAGTAAAACACGCATCCTATAGATTGAAAGTACAAAGCAGATTATTTAGAATCACCTTATAATCTAAAATAAATTCCTAGATTAAGGGCAACCCCTAGTTGAAAAAGTAGTACGAAAAACCACAAAAATATTCAATTAAAAAGAAGTGTACGAACCTCATGAGATATTTTTCCCTTTAAAAATCCCCCCAAAAAATTCATGAAAATGATAAGTCAATATACTATTTATCTTACTGAAAATTTGTTTGATT